AAGGCTGTATTGTAATATCCTATTGATTTTATTGAATAAAATTTTAATCATTTATCAAAAAAAAACATTGTTTTCTACCAAAAATGCTAGGATTTAATCAACGCTGACTTATTGGATGTTTTTAACGAATTTTGGTTYGAAGGAAAAGTAAATCAAGGTACAAATGCCACTTTTATTGCAATAATCCCAAGAAGAAAGAAGCTTTACACCCAAAGGATTACAGACCAATTAGTTTGGTGGGACGCTTTTACAAAATGTTAGCAAAGGATTACAGACCAATTAATTGGGAGTTCCTTTTGGAGATTATGGAAAAGTTGGGTTTTGGAAAAAAGTTGATAAAAGGTTGCATAAGCTCATGCCACATATCTATCTTAATCAGCGGTGTATCAAGAGATTTCTTTACAAGCAAAGAGGGGATTGAGGCAAGGTGACCCTCTTTCTCCCTTGCTCTTCATGTTGGTAGCTGATGTGCTAAGTAGAATGATCTCAAAGGCAGATGAAAATAATGTTATAAGGGGTTGGAGAGTAGGGAGGCAAGAAGTAGATGTGACACACATCCTTTTTGCAAAATGATATTATCATCTTTTGTGAGGAAGTGGGGATTTGTGGAGAAATCTGAAAGAAATCATCTCTGCTTTTGAGTCTAGCTCCAGATTGAGAATAAACTTGGGGAAGAGTTATCTGGTAGGGGTAAATACACAAGAGGAAGAGGTAGAAGCTTTAGCTGATTGCTTGGGTGTCAACTAGACTCTTGGCTGTTAACCTACTTAGGTTTACCCTTGGGTGGAAACCCAAAATCTATTTTTTCTTTTTTTTGAAGCCAGTCTTGTAGAAGTTTACAAAGAAGCTTGCAGTCTAGAAGAGAAACTATATCTCTTTGGGGGGGAGGAAGGATTACTTTGATTAAATCGACCCTTGCAAATCTTCCAATTTATTTCCTCTCCACATTTTGAATCCCAACCAAAGTAGCATGGAAGCTAGAGAAAATCATGAAAGATTTTTCTTTCATGGAGGAGAATATGGAGTAAGCCTATTCCCCCAAAAGCCCAAGCCTTCTGTTGTGAAGTCTACCTGGGGAAGATAAATACCTGTGATATGCTCCAAAGAAGAAGGCCAAACAAATGCCTATCCCCCCATATGTGGATTTTATGTTAAGGCAAATGGTGAAACTACTCACCACTTACTACTATCCTGCTCTTTTGCAAATTCTGTTTGGTCGTGCATCTCTTCTCTGTTTGGTTGCAGGTGGGACCCTCCACAGGCCTGTGTGACACTTTTCAACCCAGCTTTCTTCAGGCAAGAAAAAAAGAGAGGAAGATTGCTATGGAAGACAGCAAGGACAGCAACATGGTCACCATGGGAGGAAAAAAAATAAAGATTGTTTAAAGACGAGGCAAGGAGCATGGAGGACATTATTGAAAGCATAAAGATCAAAACAGCAATCTGGGTAAATTCCTTGGAAGCTTCCAAATTGATGGGAGTAGATGATATTATTAAAGCCTGGTATGAAGTGGCAAATTCAGCAGCTGTGAAAGACGGAGTAGTCTTGCACTGGAAGCCTCTTCAACCAAACAGACTAAAGCTCAATTTTGATGGAAGCTCTCTAGGAAATCCTGGGCTGTCAGAAATAGGAGTGTTCAGGGGTGAAGCAGGGAAAGTGATAACTTATTTCAAGGCCTGAAACTAGAAAAACAGCGGGGTTTTAAGAATATAAAAATAGGTGGTTCAAAATTAGTAATTTCCTTATTTATCAAAGAAAATAGTAATTTCCTGGATGGATGACGATAATCCAGGTTGTGGAAGTTCAGAGTTCAGACATCTAATAAGAGAAATAAAGTGCTTAGCTAAGGATCTTGATGCAAGGTTCAAATGGGTCAAGAGAACAGCAAATGGGATGGCCAACACTTTGGCAAGGCAGGGGGGGGGTACATAGGGGGATCAACTATTCTGGGCAGACTTGGGATAACCTTGTAAATTGGAAAAAACTGTGCTTTTCTTTTGTCTAATTTTGATCTGAATCTGTATTCTCTTATCTCATAATGAAACGAAATACATTTGATTACGGATAAAAAAAAACAATTAATAAAATTTATCAAATTTCTTCTTTTCCTGTGAAATCTCTAAAATTTAGTGTCTTTGCTAGCTACAAAATGCTTCCTGGATTACTGATGCTGCTGCTTTCAAAATTAAGCTTTATTAGATTTAAATTGCTTCTACGAGATACCAAATGAGAAGCATGTTAAGTCCCTGAGGTAGAGAACATTGGAGCATTCTCTATCATCAATCAGTAAGTGCACGGTTCACATTTCATTATTGGTGGGCATTTTTCCATGCATATGGAAAAATTATAGAGATGGTCGTTAATTTCACTAAGATATTGGGAAAATCTAGAAACTCATGATTTTTTTTCTAAAAACATGGAATTAGTTTATAAATCTTCAAGGAATCTTTCAAAGAGAATGTTTTCTCTTTGTCTCTCTCCTTCAGTCTTTTAGCCATATTCACTAAATCAAATATGTCGCTTAGTTGCCAATTTGACTTTTGTCTATTAGGCAAGGTTCAAAATATCGATACAGCGGTCGGTCTAAGGCTGGTCTACCCCCTGAACCAGGTCACACCCCGATATAATCCCTGTAGGGGCATATCGTTAAGCCCCCGATACAATACGATATGCTCGATATGGGGCGTACGGTATCGAAATTATGAACCTTGCTTTTAGGTTATTGTGTTTTGATTAAATTGATAATAATCCCTTGTAATTATATGCATTGTCCTTTTTCTTTTGAATTATAGTGACTTGGTAAGTGAATCATATCAAATCTTTTAGGAAAGTATTTTTAAAAAATTATGATGATTTTAATGAAATATCGAAAGGCTTGTAAAATTTAAAACCTTAAATATATTGTCAAAATATAAAAAAATAGGAAAAACAGATTCCTGAATATTTTTGTATTGTTACCTAGAAAATTGGGGATATTTTGTGTAAATTTCACCAAATATCGCCAACATTGCATTAGAGACGACTTTTTGGATGAATACTTGACTATATTTTTTTGACGAAGGAATACTTGACTTGACTGTAGATTAACTAATAAATCTCCATAAGCAAATGAATATAGGAAGAAGAAAGAATGAATGGAGGAAGAGAGAAAAGAGGAAAAGAGATTCACATGTGAGATGTTCAAAATGGTTTTCTATGCCTCGCACGATCGTCACCTTGAAACATGAGGCTTGCACCTCTTTCTGACAAAGGCATAAGCTAATTCCAAAGATACGAGGCTTAAGCCTTGAGGCAAAATCTGAGAGCCTCTCCTCAAGGTGTAAGCCTTTCAAAACCATGCAGGCTGAGCGCCTGAGTGTAGATATTAAGGATGCCAAACCTTGCAAGTAAATAATTGAACTTAGGCTTAGCAAGTTCAATGTTGATCATGGTACTGGACTATGTGCCACGTAAATAATTGAACTTAGGCTTACCATTCTGATCATGGTAAACTGGATTTTGTGCCATGTAAGTTGTTGTTTGATTAGCACCATATGATTGTATAGACTATAGGCCCCTAAAAAATCTACTCTCAAATATGAAGAAGAGATTTCAGCCACAAAGCATTTTAAGCTGTAGCTTCACACTAGCTTTACAATATATATGACTACAATTGGCTGCTTTTTAGTTCTCCATGCTCATCTAATGTATCTGCCTAGTTTTACATAGATCGCCTTCTCGACTCTTACAACTATTTTCTTGTTTTGACAGACTATTTGTAAACTACCATTCATCAAGGAATCTCGCCTTCTTGCGGAGATTGCAAAGGTGGAACACACCTTAACGGTAATGTTTGAGTACTTTATGGTTGTTTGACTTTTTTTTTTTTTTTGGAACACTCCTTAACTGCCTTCAATTCTTGTTGTAGGATGAAGAAAAACAAAGAAACAATATAGGTTTGGATGTACTCTTTGTTCACACTGTACATCCTTTATCTGTGAAGATCTTCTCTTTCTATTGGAAAAAGAAAGATCATCCAAAGGTGTCTAAAGCTAAAGTCAAACAGAAAATTGATCCAGTATTGAGGTTTGTAAATCAAAACAATGCAAAATAAAATCCAAGTGTTGTCATTAAGGATGTAAACGGGTCGGGAACTTGGGATTCCATATGAATTTGATTCAACCTAAATCCAACCCACCCCACTCTATACCAAACCTCTCCATCCCCCAAATGCATCTATCTATACTCAACAAGGCTTTTTTCACAAATGTTTCAATCCCATTGGGGTAACAGATCATGTTCGTCATTGGTTAATCAACCCAAACCCAATCTTACATCTGATTAAGGTCAATCTTACCTTAGATCCAATAAGGTCAGATTAATATTCTTTTATCATTTATCCTGACCCACTGGTATCCCAAGTTGTGGCATGATATATTTTCATATTAGTCTAGAGATTTGTTCTTACAAGGGCCGAGCATGGGCCGGTTTGGTTTGTTTCCATGGCAGAACCTGGCACCTACCCTGTAGGGGTCAGTTCCAGGTTTTTGCAACCGGAACCTACCCTGTGAAGGTCGGGTTCCAGGGTTGGTTCTGGCCTTGGTGGTTCCGGGGTTGGTTCCAGGATCTGCCCGTGGAATCTGTTCTTTCTTTACTCTTCCCCCCTTTAAAAAAGGAAGCATGTTATTTAACAACTTTTTTTTCAATAAATATAATATATAGTTTAAAAAGTATATCATCTTTATTGATTAAATTGAGTAATTTAATGTGTATATTATCCATTATTGTTATATGGTTCAAAACTTATAACTTATATTTAAATTTTGTAAAGATTACCTTTTACATTACTTATTGTACTCATTCCAAATCAAGAGTTTGGAACCAGACCTTACCCTGTAACATATTGGGTAGTGTCGGTTCAAGGCCAATTCGAGGTCGGTTCCATTTGGTTCCAGGCAGACCCTACCTATTTGCTCACCCCTAGATTTGTTATTACTGTTACTGTACATTGTCATTGGTCAACCTTAACCCATATGTATATGTTTCTTCTATTTACATTTAATTATTTGATTTGTTATGAATTCACCATTACATATTTTATCTGAATGTTCAAAAACTAAATAACTTGAAGTTGTAGAGTACTTAAGCTGTCTTGGATCTGGCCCCCTCCTGCCACCACCCCCTGGAAAAAAAGAAAAACAAAATATACAGCTTTGCCTCAGTGATGTTGGGGTCATCTTCGTGTCTATTTTTTTGAACTGTGCCGACTATGATTTATTATTTTTCTAACAATATGGGGATTGCATGCAGTGGTGGAATGAATGGGTTCATGTGTATTTCTGATAAACCTGTTTGGTTTCTAGAAATTGATTCACCAATGGGAGACATGGAGAAAATAAGAAATAATAAAATTATGTAAGTTTCCTATTCATAGTTGTCTAGTTTTATTTCTTGAAATGCAAGTTATAAATTACCTTATTTTCTTTTGTGGTTGAGGGTTTTTTTTTTTTTTTGTTTCAGTTCTGTTTTCTACAAATGCCCTCGTTTTCACTGTCACATCCCTAGGCCTCCAAAAGGAGTTGTGTTTCCAAAGGTGTGTAGTGTCATTAATTCTTTTCTTCTACTTTCAGTTTTAATGATTCAATGCTTGAACATATGTAAAGTTAATGGCGGGCTTAACCAAGCCTCTAGCATCATTGTTAGCTTTAGTTAGCTAAATATAAGCTTTCAACAATTTTTTTTCTTTTACCGAAGTTTTAATGATTCAATGCCTGATATTTGTAAAGTGAACCACTTGCTAAAGCAATCCAGCTTTATCCCAGCTAGGGGTGTAATCGGGTTGAGTCGAGCCAAGTATTGAACTACTCGAGCTCAAGCTCGACTCGAGCCGATTATAAATAAATTAATATTATAAATTATAAATTAATCAATATCAGGTATATTAAAAATAAAAAAAGTATAAATAAATTAATATTATAAATAAAAATATATTTTAAAAATAAATTATAAATGTACTTATTTATTTTTTAAATAAGTTAATATAAAAAATTAATGTTTATTTATATTATAATTACAAAATATATTAAAAATATATTATTTTATTTTGATCTCGATTAGGCTCACAAGCCACTCGAGCCAGTTACTGTGAAGCTCGAACTCAATTGCTGCAAGCCATGTTGAGTATTTAGCGAGCCGAGCCCGAACAGCGCACAAGTATGCTCGGCTCACTTACACCCCTAATGCCAGCAGCCCTCTGAGCTTGAGCTTTCAAATGCTTGGACTAGAAAAATGAAAAATAAATAAATAAATAAATGCTGATTTACCCTCATCAGCTTACTAATTCATTCAATATGCACTCTCTTGGTTATTGTGTGGTTTTATTGCACAGTTGATAAAGAAGCAGGGTAAACTACCAGCAACAGTATTGTTACATGGGCAATCAGTTACACAGGGACCTATTTGTTCTGAAAGGTGAGAACTTCTAATGAAACCTCCTTTTACTTAAAAAGTACTTGCATGATCTTCCTGTATCCAGGGCACCTGTTTCGGTTTTGCTCCCTTAATTTTTTTCCTCTTATGCTTGTTAATATGTTTTTTCACGCAACCAGGTCCAGGTGCACCATTCTCAGTTCCAACTCAGACTCTGGTCAAGTAAAATTTGATCGTGAGTTCGTATTAGACCATCATACTGAAAAGCAGCAAAAAATCATGGGGCCTAGCCATGTCATGGCAGATGGCTCCTTCCATCTGTCGAACTCAAAAGAAGCAATTTGTGAGGAGATCGATGGTGGTATACAAAGTTCAAGTTGCATTACTGGCAACAAAATTCGAAAGAGAAAACGTGGAGAAAAGAAACAAGTGGACAATGGTTTTGATCTGGTAGGCATCATGGCAGATGGCTCTGTGTATCCGTCAAACTCGGAAAGAGATTGTGATGAAGAGATCAAAGACGGAAAACTAAGTTGCATGACTGACAGTGAAAATCAACAAAGGAAACAGGTGGACAATGGTTGTGAGCAGGTTGCCCAAGTCATTATCAAGAGTTCTGCATGTAAGCCAAACTCAACAGTGACAATTGGTGAGGAAATCCGTGATGATAAAGTAAGTCATATCATTGGCATCCAGTCTGAGAATAAGAAAAATAGGAAAAATGGTCTCGTAGAAGATGGCTGTTATCAGGTGGACCATGTCATGGGAAATGGCCCCGGATATCAATTGAACTCAAAGGAGACAGTTTGTGAGAAAGTGATAAATGATGGTGAAGCAAGCAGTACCACCGGCAGCCAGAATCTGAAAAGGAAGCGGAAGAAGAGGAAACAATTGAGCGATGGTTTTGATCAGGTGGCCCATGACATGACAGATGACTAGCGGAAAAGGAATAGTATGAAGAAACAAGTTGGTAATGGCTGCATAACTGAAAGGCTTCTGCATCTCACTGGCTACAAACTGAAGCAGAGATGGGAAAAGAAAACAGGTGGCCGATGATTGCGACCAGCAAAGCTTCACTATCGAGAAATAGAGTGAAGCGCAGTAAAACCCAATTTTGGTAGGGCAGGTGGATCGCATTTTTTATTACTTGGAATTTATTATAATTTATAACGAGTTCTCTCCGTCTCTGACCGGTGATTTTAATCATTGAGCATTGTTGACAAGCCATCCGGCAGGGTCAGGGTTTTGGTCTCCTCTGTTTCTATCAAGGTGGCAATTCTAAGAGATTGTACTGTGTTACTCTTTTGGATATGTATTGATATGTTAGGAAAACTCAAATAAATTTCAGAAAAATATGTATATCAATTACACTAATTATAAGATTCAGGTGACTATAAAAAAGGTATACACGTAAGAAAAATGATGTTTTAATATTGATTATGTGAAGACTTAATCATAATGACCCACTTTGTAAACGTTGAAAATTGATGTTTTAACTATATATTTTAGTTTTCCAAGATAAAACTAAAATATGCATGTCCATTTGTATATCCAATTTCTTACAAAATATAATTTGTAATTTTGTATTAATATTAGTATTTGTAAATACGAATTTTAGTAGTAATTGTTTTGACATTCATTAACAAAAGTTCAAAAGATAACTATGACAGTAATTAGAGCACGGCAAGGGATAGATTTGCTGCTGTAGTTTTCTACTTGAAGACTAATTGTGGGAATTGTGGTCTAAGTATAGAATTAATTAGGAGTTGCTGAGATGAGATTGAGTGAGGGTTCGACTGTCTAAGACAAACATGAATTCGCAGTGGGAAGGAATCTACTATTTTGGGTTGTAATTTTGCTGTTTGTATTTGAGAGAGTTAAGAGAGTTTATCTTTTCCTCTAATCCCCTTCACTTTCTTTATTATTATAATAAATCAGTTTTTGTAATTCATCAAAAAAAAAAAAACTAACGCTTTGGACCTTAAGGGTTATTTTTTGGAGTTCATCCATTTCAAAACATATTCAAATGCTGTTTATGGGTAAAACAGTAAACCATAAAAAAATGAAAAAATAAATCTTCTAGAAAACAGCTGCATTTCCTTATAATTCCAACTCCATTGCTTTGGTAGTTCAATTCGACGTCCAAAGCCATGAGAGCTTTCTGATTATTGTATGCTACTGATTTCAGTTGTGCTTGCTGCCCAATATTTCATTCAAGAACGAATAATGAATTCAATGGAAAAGGGGAGAGGAAAAAGATCTCTAAATGAGGGGAAGATAGTGTCTTAGAGGGCTTAAATCAAGAAAGTTGGTTAATGAAAACAATTAGTTGGAATGTAAGGGGTTTGGGTATTACTAGAAAAATGAGGCTGATTAAGGAGTTACTTAGGACAGAAAGACTTGATATCGTGATGCTACAAGAGTTCAATTAGTTGAACTGGATAGGAGGTGGGTCAAAGAGATTTGGAAAGTAAGAAGTGTGAGATGGTGCTTAGCTCCCTCGTGGGGAACTTCGGGGGGAATAGTAACTCTATGGAGGGAAGATGTCTTTACATGGGTGCTAATAAATGTGTATGGGCCAAATAATTATAGAGACACGAATGAATTATGGGAGGAGCTTCATGGTATCCAAGGTTTATGGGAAGGTCCCTAGTTCTTAGGGTGGACTTTAATGCAATAAGGTTCACAACTGCGTCAAATAATCCCAAACAGGCCATCACGACTAGTATGAGGAAATTTAATGACCATTAACTCTTGTGAGTTACGAGAGCTTCATTTACTACAAGTTATTTTCACTTAGTCCAACTTCCAAGAAAACCCAACTTGTTCGAATTTTGATAGGTTTATTTTCAATGAGGGTTGGGAGAGCCATTGGAGAGGTTTGGTGGCTAAGACCTTACGCAGGGTCACCTCTGACCATTACCCTATAAAAGTAGGGTAAGAGCCCTTTGGAAATGGACTTAGACCTTTCAGGTTTGAGAATATGTGGTTAATACTTCTGGATTTCTCATCTAAAGTTGTCGAATGGTGGAACAAAGAGATGAGGGGAGTGAAATGGAATGGGGTTAGATTCCACAAAAAAATTTAAAAAAGGTTGAGAGGTAAAATAAAAGAATGGAATAGGGATCAATTTGGAAGAGTGAAGGAAGCAAAAGCTAGCTTATTGACTCAGATTGAGGATTTAGGTGCAAAAGAATACCAAAGGATGATGAATGTGCAATATAAAGAACTGAGATGGAAACTAAAAAAGGAGTTAGAGAATGTTTTGTTAAGGGAGGAGATCTCATGGAGACAAAAGTCTAGGCACAAATGGATCGAGGAAGGGGATGGGAGTACTAAAATCTTTCATGCTATGGCTAATGGGAGAAGGAAAAATGTAATACTTAAGCTTGAGGTTGATGGAGTTGAAATAACCTCTCAAGAGGAGTCCGCAAGTAGGTTTGTAGCTCAGTTCAAATCAATCTTTTAGAGACCTTTGAAGAATTGGCTAAGAGTATGGGAGGACTAGCCAAATTTGAATAAAATAGATAGGGGATGGTTAGAAAGATTGATTGAGGAAGAGTCAATCAGCTCAGTGACTAGCATTTATTAGATTTTGGCAAAAGTACTCTCTAGGAGGATCAAAATAGATCTCCCTTCTCTCATTAGCCAAACATAAGGAGCTTTTTATTTAGGATAGACAAATTATAAATCAGATCTTCATTGCAAATGAAAGTGTTAAAGAGATGAGGAGATCTAGCAAAAAAAGCTTTGTCTGCAAATTGGACTTAGAAAAAGCTTATGACCTAGTGGACTAGAGTTTCTTGTTGGAGGTGTTAAGAAGGTGTGGATTTAGGAACAAATGGTGTAATTGGATAAGTGGATGTTAAATTCATGTCATTATTCTGTCTTAATTAATAGAGTGGTTAAGGATTTATTTCCAACCAAGAGTGGCTTAAGACAAGGTGACCCACTTTCTCCTTTCCCCTTTACACTTGTTGTTGATGTTCTCAATAGATTGATCTCCAAAGTAGACGAGGAGAGCTTAATAAAGGTTGGAGAATAAGGAGGAGAGGCATTTTAGTAACTCACCTTTAGTTTGCTAATAATGTTGTTTTCTATGAAGGGAATGATTTAAGCAAGGTGGACAACCTTACGAATTTAATAAGAGCCTTTAAGCTTGCCTCCAACTTGAAGATAAACTTTGATAAAAGTTGCATGGTTGGAGTAAACATGGAGGATTGGGAGGTAGAATCCATTACAAGGTGTTTAGGTTGCATCACCTCTTCTTGCCTTTGACCTATTTAGGTCTCCCCTTAGGAGCCAACCCTAAAGAAAGTGGTTTCTAGGCCCCTATTGCGGAGAAGTTTGATAAATGCTTGGTAGCTTGGAAAAATAGTTACATCTCAATAGAAGATAGGGTGACTTTAGTTAGGGATACACTTGCAAACCTTCTAACCTATTTTCTTTCAGTTTTTAGGATTCCCCTAGGGAGGCTAAGAAACTAGAGAATGTAATGAGGGATTTTCTATGGGAACTAGGAGAGGTGAAAAAGGACCATTTAGTTAGATGGGAGATAGTCAATAAATATGAGGAAGAAGGGGTCTTAGAGATAGGGAACTTAGCGTAGAAGAACGAAACCCTCCTAGGGAAGTGGTTATGGAGATGGCCTTGGGAGGGAGAGAAAGAGAGAATATGGCATGGAGATGGCCTTGAGATGCTAGAATATCTCGTCGAGCTACCCTCACAACACCTTAAAAAGGCTATACATGGCATTCTCCTTCGCTTCCTTAGGTTTATCAAGTATGATGCTTGTTCTGGTGATTCTATTTGGTTCTAGGAGGATGTTTGGGCAGGTAATCAACCCATCAAAGACCGATTCCCTTCGTTGTACTCTCTCCTTTCACAAAAATGAGCCAATTGCAATGTTTCTTCAAAACTTGTTTAATCCCTTGCCTTTAAACTGCAGCTTTGGATTTTGTAGGGGATTAAGGGATGGTGAGTTGACTTGTGTCACTGAGTTGCTTCATTTACTTGAGTCGACTTGTTTGGACCCCACATATTCTGATCAAAGAGTTTGGATTCCTCTTCCAGAAGGTACCTTTACTTGTGCTTCTTTTCTAAAATCCCTTAGCTCCTACCCTGGTTCCCAAGAGTTCCCTATTAAAGAAGTTTGGGTGCGACCTATTTCTTCAAAAATTGTTATATTCTATTGGGAAGTTTATTATGGGGAAATCAATACTTTGGAAAACTTGCAAAAAAAGAGACCTCTTTGTCTTTTCCTGAACTGGTATTCCTTATGTAAGGCACAAAATGAGGATTATTTCCATTTGTTGATCTTCTGCTCCTTTGCTATAGCCTTATGGAATTGGAGCCTTAGTTTATTTTTAATTTTTATTTTTTATAGTAAATGGAACTTTAGTTTATTTGGAGGTAAGTGGTATCTGCCTTCTAATGTGAATTTCTTATTTTTGTTGTTTGGCATATAAAAAGAGGCAAGATCATGTGGAAATGTATCAAGGCAGCCACCTTATGGACTCTTTGGGAGGAAAGGAACGCAAGTCTTTTTAGAGAAGAAGAGAAGCTTGGATGAAGTGGAGGACTATATCCTAACAAGAGCAATACATTGGCTAAAAAACTTGGATATTTTTAGTGGTTTCTCTTTTGATGACCTATGGAGGAATTGGTCAATAACAGCTAATACTTCTACCAAGAAGAATAGAAGTTTGGCAGAATGGAATCTACCTTCAAAAGGTGTCATCATCAAGTTAAATTTTGATGGGAGCAAACAAGGTAACCCTGGGCCTTCAGGTATGGGGGCGTTCTAAGGAATAAGGATAGAAACATCATCTCCTTATTCTCTAGATCAATGGGAGTGGGGGACTCTACGAGGGCAGAAATACTAGCAGTTGTACAAGGGATCCAATTGCCAACCAGCTTGGGGTGGAACATCTCCTAGTTAAAGGGGACTCAGGTGGTAACAGGGTGGCTTCTAAACCCAAATGCTATCATTTGGTGCTACAAAGATCTCATAAAAAAAGTAAAGTGGTTAACTAGTAATATGAGAATTGAGGTTAAATAGGTAAACAGGTCAACTAATACTATGGCTGATTTTTTGGCCAAATAGGGGGTTTCTAGGGAAGGTCTTTTTTGTGCTACATTGTAACTTGTTCTAGTATATTGGGAAGCTATACTTGATTAGCTTGGAGAGGTTGCATCTCGTGCCTCTCCTTGGGGACCTTGTACTAATTATCATTGATATTAATAAATTTCATTCAATTATCAAAAAAAAATCACTCAAGAACATTCTTATAAACAGAAGCAACCAACAGTAACAAAAGCTTCAGACACTTGACACCAATTCCAACTAGCAGAAGCTTCATACTAGACCTAACTCGGGACAAATCCAGCCACAGAAGTTGTCAGAGATCAGTCATCACTACAATACTTTTGTTAGGAACACCCTTTTTTGTAAAAGAAACCAAGGGAAAGAACTTAGGAGAGGAAAGGCAAGAAATGCAGATCCCACAAACACACCTTAACAATGTATCTCCTTTTGCAGCCATGCATTACAAACATTTCTGTAATTGTATGTTTCTATTCACGAGGGGATATTCCCAATGTACAGCTGCAAAGGCCTATGAGGACAGTTTTGTGAGGACCAAATTAGATTTCGTTTCAGAACCATCTTGGCCATTCATCCTACATTCCTACCTATCAAACAAAAAGCCGAAGCAACATCACTTTTTCATCTTTGCCTATTCATTATTATCAAAGGCTGCCACAAATTTCAACTGTAATTTTACTCGCCTTTGTAAGTTGATCCAACTGCGTCAGGCGGAGGGTTCGTTTCAATTTGTTAACTTAATTTTTTAATCAAAAGTAGTTGAAAAATCACATTCAAAAGCTCTTTCCTGCCGAGAGAATTGCTAATGTAACCCACATCTAACGTTTGATGAAACGGATGGACTTGAAGAGAAATTCCTTTATTAGTCCAAATGCACTGGATCCAAAGTATTCAGAGACCAGACCCCCTCTCAAGACATTTGCTGTTTAAAACTTAAAAAACTAAGGCTCAGTTTGGAAGGAGTACAAATGCAAATATGTAGAGTACAAAACCTTATATTTTATATTATTTTGTATACATTTGCACTGTACATATTTGCATTTGTACTCTTTCCAAACTGAGCCTAATGGTGTTTGCAAGATTACAATGACCCATTTCCACTCAAACTCCATTCTTTGAACCAAACATCCAAAAATATGCCCATCCATTCATTCAAATTTAAACTGTTGGTGGGTTATGAGATAAGTCAACATGTAATAGGCAATAAAATAGGGGAGAGAAATAAGCTAAGGTCATTTATCAGAAAATTAGTTAATAGGTTAAACTTAGTTTGTCAAAGGTTAGTTGTCATTAAAAAATAAAAAGTAGCACATGTGAATTGTATACCACTTTGTTATGGTCACTGATGTGAACCTCCAAAAGGCACAGTACTGGTGCATAACCTACTCCATCGGAGGCCCAACATTACTGGGACATTCTATCCCTCCAAAAGGCACAGGACTGGTGTATCTGAAGCCAACGACATAATAACCTTTTGTCCATACCCTTGTTTAACTAAGCCTCAACTCACAACTTGCTAATTTCTGACAATAATAGAAAAAATGACTCACCCACAATACATTTTATGCCAAAAAAACAGAAAAAAAAAAAAAGCTTTTCGTCATAAAAGTTCTATATAATGTTCTAAACGGATCTTACTACAAACCACACAAAAAAGTTCGATTCGACCAGCACAACAGTATTCTAATTGGTCTATTACCAGGTTCTTCAATATAGTCCACATTGCAGAAGGAATATTGCCATGCTGAAGAATCAACTAACTGTACCAAAGTGAAATACTGCATAAAGAGGAAGACAACCTTTACAGATGAGGCAAGGATTACAAACCAATAAAACAGGAAACATGGCAGAGATACGAGGATCCCTACCACATATATGCATCAACAGGAACATCCCCCAGATTGTGGCTGTGACTGTGATGCACCACCAGTGGTAGATTTCAGATTCACATCAACCATGTCTTCTTGCTTCGTCGAAGAAAGTGTTTCCATTCCTGGCAATGCAGCTGCAATCTTCCGGAAAAGTGCCTGTTGAAATAAATACATCAAAATCAATCAATAAATATGAAATAGTAACAGCAGGAAGTTGGAACGGATTTACAAGCGATGGCAGCGCAGTAAACCAAGTTCCTAGCAATTCATGCAGTGCAGGGTTTTTGAACCTGGTGTTCAATTGCTTCCAGAAAATTCTGCTCAGCCAAATCTTGAGTAGAAAATATGATCCTAAGGCTCAGTTTGGAAAGAGTACAAATACAAATATGTACAGAGTACAGTACAAATACATACAAAATAATACAAAATGCAAGGTTTTGCACTCTACATATTTGTACTTGTACTCCTTCCAAACTGAGGCTCAGTTAGGGAAGAGTGTGCAAATACAAACACTTGCAGTACAAAACCTTACATATGGTATTTCTAAACCTTGTATTTGCACTCTTGCCAAACTAAGCCTAAGCATTTTTCTCTTATCATTTGCTATCTTGTGTCTAGAATAATAATACATCACTGAATTAGGATCATTACATAAATGTAATGTTGGTCCATAAGAATGTTAGACCTCAATAACTAAAGGTGCGCTGATGCAACATTATGCTGTTCAACAGAGTCTTAGAAATCATTAAATCAAGAGGAAGAAAAATGAAATAAACTTAAGGGTTAACCTTGATATTGAAGCCGGCTTTTGCACTTGTTTCAATGAACATGACATTAAGATCACGGGCTTTGGCTTCTCCTTCCTCTATTGAAACTTGCCTGTTGGATCATCCACGACATTGAAGGTGAGACTAAATGATGACATAGAATATCCAACATATAAGGTTTGGTTAATCATGAAATACTGAAGTGTAAGTAGCAATGCAAATTCATTTGGTCTGTACTTAAACTTGCGTCAATATTTTAGTATATAGACATAAAAATGCCTTATGTGAGCATTTACCGAGGAAGAAAGATCCACAACGCTTGTTAAAAGATAGATGTTGATGTAAGGCACACTTGAGATCTGAGTAATACCAGAACATATGTCCCACATTAAAAACGTTTTTTTTTCTGATAAATAACAGTTCAATTTTCTGAGATATTAGCAGATCTGGAAGGGGGTACAAAGGACTAAAGATCTAAATGTCAATAAACTGATCATAGAAGGAGACTCCGAGACTGTAGTGAGCTGGCTAAAAGAAGACAATTCTAGGCTTTGGAACTACACAAATGAAAAGGGGAAATTTTTAAAATTTTTTGGATAAATAAAGAGGAAATTTAAATGTCTCTCTCTCTCTCTCTCTCTCTCTCGTCACTTCAATACCGAATTCAGATTCAGTACTCACAAAACAGTGCTACCACCATCCTCACAGCCACTTGCAACCGTGTATTGGGAATATCTCCATACTTGCATGTTTTTATTCATGGGGAGATATTCCCAATGCACAGCTGCAAGTGGCTGTGAGTACAGTGTGAACACCATTTCATGAGGATTGAATCCCATCTCTTCAATATCTCAGGTCAGCTGCCTGAATTTTTTAATCATTTTGTATTGCCATAAAGCTGCCTCCCCTTGCTGCAACCATCATGTTACCAATCTTGAATCACCTTCAACAACTAGTTTTTCCAAATTCAGATTTCTAGCCAGTTGCACTTCTCCATTACAGCCATGACTTCAGCCCTAGTGAGTCCCCTACTCTCACCGAACCTGCAAATAAAGCCATAATATGCCCACTCATTTCTGTAAACCCCTCCCATTCCTGATGACCCTGCATTGCCCCTACCACTTCCATCAAAATTCAGCTTCATGACTCATTCCTCTAGTGGAGCCCATTCTTGAGGTGTTGCATTAAAAATGTTGAATGGACCTATCCCTATTTTACTTTATTCTATTTATTGATTGATTAATAGATAAAGGAAAGGCTTCATTAAAGAGAGACCGAAAAATTACATAGAAGCAGGAGTTGGGAGGTGCAAACTCCCCTAAGAAACAACAAAAATGTATTTACAACTGAACTCAGAACAGGTTTTCCTTATCAATTCCTTGCTTAGCTAAAAGGTCTGCCAGACCATTGGCCAATCTCCTTTCCCATTGAATTCTTAATGTCATGTTACCCACTAATCCATTTAAACCTTTTTTTATTTCCTCCCTATAATTCCAAATTACTAGTTCTGGTTGCTGTCGCCATCCTATTACCACCTTGGAACCTTCAATCAAGGTTCAAAGTATCGACACGTATCAGCCCCTATCGGCCGATACGCCCCTACAGAGGGTGTATTGGGGTTCTGACCAGTTCAGGGGGTGGAGGAGCCTTAAACCAGCCCCCCTGAACCAGTTTTGAAAAAAAAAAGTACCGATATCGCCCGATACACCCCTACTGGCATATCGGGTGTATCGATATTTTGAACCTTGCCTTCGATAACCAACTTGTCAAAGCTCAATTATCTTGCTAAATTGTACCCCTTGAAGAACAGCAAGAATTTCAGCTCTTAAAAGAGTATAAAATCATTAAGAAACCTTCCCCTATTTGATGAGCTTTTTTCCACTGAAATCCAATTCCTCCATTCTTCTTCAATTAGTGCTCTCCCAACACCTAACTTCTAAAGAAATTACAGAACATTCATTCCCATAACATCAGCTTTAAAATGTCTAGATATGCATCAAACTGCTATAACCAAAATCCAAAGTTCCTGGAAAACAGTGAAGGAACACCTGACCGAAAACACGAAACAAATTAAATCAAACTACCTGAAGACACCCATTCTACTTCACAGACCCCACCCCATCCAAGATACCACCATAGATAGCATTGCTCTCATTTTAACCAAAAAAAAAGCAACCCTTACATATGCCATAAAGTTAAAAACCAACCAACATTATTTCATTATTAATCTTCAAGAAAATATAAATTTCTCTGCAATATCGATTGAGATAACCTCCACCCCTAGATAACTTTTTCCCATGAAAAGAAAAGGGACCAGGGGAAACCAAACCAAGAAGGTGAATATTACCTTTTGTCAACAAGGTCCGTTTTGTTTCCAACAAGGACAATAATAACATCACTGCCTCGTTCAGTGCGGACTTCTTCAATCCACTTTGAAGTGTTAAGAAAAGATTGCCGGCCTAAAACCACCAAAATGAAACAAAATATTCAGCACAATTATCATAGAGGGCAGAACAAAATTCAATTAGTGGTTATGATATGAAGATACAGAACAAGGATTAACTTGGATGCCAAGCTGGAACTTCAAGTACAGAACATTATGTTGAATGCTTGTAAAAGCTGAATTTACTTTCCAGGCTTATAAAATTATAAGCGCATGAGAATCAATGGAACAATGAATGAAGAATCATCCCAGATGTAAAAACAAAATAGAAGAGTTGCATACTTGCAACATCGTATACAATTACTGCAACAGATGAATCTCTAATGTAGCTTGGAATGAGACTCCTGAATCTTTCCTGTCCAGCTGTATCCCTATCAACACACAACAGAATTATAAGATAAACCTTCAAAAAGAGAGCAAAGTTTCAAGGAAATACATGAAAGGCAACATGGAAAAACAACCCTTGCGAAATTTCCTTGTCAAAAGAGTAAAACTGCATGTATTCAAAAGTTCTTTCATCAATTACTCTCTAGCTTCATGCATTGCCAATAATTTTCCCTTAATTAAGAACTATAAAAGCTAATGGTGGTTGTTTCAGTTGCATCTTGCATGGACTTTTTTTATCAGTATTTCAGTTGCATGGGCATTGCATTATATAAATGTTCAAATGTACACTTTCCAACCATTCTTATGCATATATACTTCGTATCAAGCATGGAACCTTTTAGTTTCTAAGCAATGTACAGTGGTATTATCTTGTTACAGAAGTTAGCCAAGACTGATTGCTTGGCAGTATGGCACAGCTGAGCAAGTCCAGTTGATCCAGTCTGATGGTGTTTATAGGGAAGGCTTTAGTCTTTCCTTTACCAGTCCTCAGTCCACTTTGCTTCGGAATGGCTCACTGCCACCATGGACAGCTGAGATTGTTAATTAACCAGTTCTTTTATCCTTGTTATCAAATATATGCACCATGTTAGATTTCCAAATGTCGGAAATTATGTATTTCAAGTGCACATCAAAGCCTTTCTCTTGTACAGTTGTACTATAACCTTTTTAATGTTAATGCATTTGCATTATTTTTATAGTCAGTCATTTTATTTAAGCTGCATTTACTTGTAACTAAGGTTCTCAGGTAATATTGTAGGGCATTAGGTATTTGAGTGAAACTCCTAAGGAGATCCAATGACTGAGCTCCTTGTAGAACTAAAACATCGCAGTTGAGGGCAATCAAATTAGATTATCAACACATTTATGGTACCAAAGAAGTGGAGACACCAGAGCTACATCCAGGTGTGGGGGGGACATACACTGATGTGATCCAGATGACTGAAACAATGATAAACATTCACTATAGATAGCTATGTCATCACACATGCAAAAGTGACATTAGCCCTTGAACCGGAGAAGTTTGCAGACTTAGGGTGCTAAGGTCATATCTGGCCAATAATTGTATGTGTTGGATGATTTGAAGGCGACCTTAGGGTTTGGTAATGTTTAAAAAGGAAATATATATCATTAGACAAGAGGAGAATATCATAGTTGAGGTTTCCCAAGTGAACTAACACTCTTGAATTGGTGACAAGTTAAAACCAAAATGACAATAAGAAAGTTCCCTGGTTGGACTAGAATTCTTGAAAAGGTTTCCTAAGTGAACTAGCACTCTTGAATCGGTGACAAGTTAAAATCAAAATGATAATAAGAAAGTTTCCTAGTTGGACTTAAATTCTTGAAAAGGTTTCCTAGTATGATTGGGACTCATAGAACACTTGGGTGGATAAATCAAAACTGTTCTTTGAAAATTTTTGAAGTTTATTTACTAAATATGAAAATATATATCTGCAGAATGTTTGTTATAATGCATTTTTACAAGAGTCCTAGCAATGGAAAGATTCTTTGGTAAACCATACTTGGTGGTGGCAAGGTTGGACAATGAAACATTACAGTTTCCCAACCATAATGATTGTTGTCTAGAAGAACTGAGCTATCATTTAGTATTGCATGAAAGGGTTTCTCCAGAATTTTTTTAAGGCTTAGGGGTGTGATTGTAAATGTGTTATTGAGCCCCCCTTGCAGTTAAAGGAAAACATATCTAATCCTCAGTGCATTTAAAAATGTCAATTCAAGGGTTGTGAGAAGAGTTTTCTCAAGCTATACTTACACTAACCCTAGTTACTAAAAACCCTAATATGGACTTCTCACCCCCTAGGCATCTGTTATGTGGCTTTTTATATGATGGAAAATCCAGCCACTCCGAGTGGATCAAAAAAACAAAAGAAAATTAAAAAAAAAAAAGGTGTTTTCTACAAATACTCTCAACTTTGGAAGCTGAGAATAGGGGTGCAAATGGATCCTATTTGGTCGAATTCGGGTTGCCCCAATTCGGGTCTTTGGATTGGATAATAGTGTCCAATCAGAATCCGGATTAGGATCGTCCCCTGTCCAATCCGATATATGTTATATATCTATTTATATAAATATATATAATACATATATGTGTTATTTATTTATAAATATATTATTTATATTGTAATTTTGTAAATTTGTTATATTATTTATTTTTTATAAAAAAACATGTATATATATGATGAAAATAATTAAAAAATACTTGTATTTTTTGTTTTTCTTTATTTAAATTGGTATATTTTATTTTTTAGTAATTTATTAATTTTTAAAGAAAACAAATCGGATTGAATCAGATCCGAATATCCGACTTACCAATCGGATTCGAATTCAGATCGTGGCCTATCAGATCCGCTTGGATCTACAATGAACATTGTCGTATCGGATTCAGATATACCCTTATTCGAATCTGATCCGATTCATTTGCATCCCTAGTTGAGAACACGGAAAACAATGGGGCAGTCAGATTCCAAGGAATTAGAGCTTCAGATCTGAAGGATATGTAAGTGTATACCAGGTATAGAATATTGTTCTGATTAATTTGATTAAAAAATATTGTTCTGATTAATATGATCCTAATAAAACCATACAGAGTACATGCAATTTTCCTGGAAATAGTTCATCAGTCTGCCAAATCTCCTATTACTATCACCAAAAGATCATTTGTTGGGAGTGAAGGAAGCCTTAGTCTCATTGACAAAAACAAAGACACCTTTACATCACAAGGAAAAGAAGAGACTCAAGTCAAAGTCAAATTAAGCCAAAGATGCTGACAAGCAAGTACAAATTAAAGGAAGGTCCAGAGGAGCCCTAAAGTTTGTGATAAAAGGTAAAAGAAGAGCAGGGAGAAGTAACGTTATTACAGATTTGAAGTGCATTCCAAGCCTTGGACATGGCTGGAGACCTCCTTTCTATCAGTTACTAGAGCTTTTAAAATTTCCATCTACAAGGACGTGTTGCAGCAGAATGACTGCAAATCCCTCTATTCTGACATTAGAATTAACAAAGGATCCTGGAAAGAAATAACATTTATTAATCTTTTTTATCATGAGGTAAAGAATTGTTCTCCCAAAATTAGGGAAAAAGGAACCAGTACAAGGGGCTCATGGCTAACACCCACAGTTTTGTTATTCCTTCCCAGACATGGTTTTCTCCAAACCTAATCAGATCTAGTAATTCCTTCCCTAGCCAGAAAATTGGCAAGGCTGTTTGCCCACCAGGGGTTCCACATGAGGTCTTGAACAAGAATACATCTTTGTAGTCAATGTATTTACCTCTTATTAGTTCACCTTTCCATTTGTTTGGTGTTTCTTATATTTCCCCTTTGCATTTGTAAGGCTTTCAAGGGCCACTTCCTAGTCCAACTTCCCATGTTGTTTCCCACACCTCTTTCCAACTATGAGAGTATGAGTGCCATAGAAGAAACCTTTTGGAAAGCACATTGAAGATAATGACCTTATAAAAGATGCTTCCTTGGAGATTACTGGACATACTTGGAACCTTTCCTTTTTTTTTCCTTTGTACTTTTGTTTCTCACAGTTACTAAACTAAAAAGTAAAAAAGGCCCTAGAGACTGATCCAAACACACCCAAGAAGCAAATACTAGTCTCCAAGCAGAAGCAGCCCTGTCCCCTATGCAACTTGAAAAAAATTTACACACATAATGGAAATAAACAACTTGGATGGTTTTACACTGACCCAGCAACCTTATTATAAATAATTAATAATAAAAATAATGTACATGTTTTTTGTGGTTACTACAAATAAACAACTAAAGGGGTCATTGCTTGGTGTAATGAAAAAACCCCAGCCTCACAAGTGTGAGGATGCAGGTTTGAGTCTGAGAGATGACATTGCATGTTGTCTGGTTAAGCCCATAACAAGTTCACCCCTCCCAACATTGGGATAATCATAATGGGCTTGACAAAGAAACAACTTCCTTTGTGGCAACACTACTGTCGTTTGGCCATTATTGGATGAGCTTGGGAAGGGCTTGATTGGCCATTACTGGATGACGAGGCAGTTTGGTGGCTGGAAAGGTTTTTTTATTGAAAATTGTAACTTTCATTCATATATTAAAATAAAACAGTGTATAACCGTCAAGCACCCAAGATAAGGTGTTGACCCCTCCAAGTAGCTCACTATTATAATACAGCCCAAGACAATTCCTCCCTAGTAGAGTCCTTCATTTTTCTAGGGTGTCAGCCAGTCTATTTACTGACCTTCTAACCCACCTAAAACTTGCCCCAATTTCCCTTCTTGGGCATTTGATATCCCTCACAATCCGTCTATGGGTCCAGATCCCCAAGCTATTTGTTTGCATCCACCCTATTACCAACTTCCACCTCAATATGTTAGAAGCCTAGCTGTTTATCCAATCTCAAGCCTTGGAGAAGGGCCACCACTTCAGCTATTAGTGAGTTTCCTACCCCCTTTGGTCCTGAGAATAAAGCCATCACTTTTCCTTCTCCATCTCTTAAAACTCCTCCAATACTTGAAGGGCCAAGGTTACCTAAAGAGCTCCCATCAAATTTCAACTTCACCCCTTGCTGTTATGAAGGGGTCCAGCTTTCCTGAAAAGTAAGGTTTGTAGAAGAAGAATATCTTTTCAATGAGAACTCCTTAAATAATCAATGGCTTGCTGTTATGAAGGGGTCCAGCTTTCCTGAAAAGTAAGCTTTGTAGAAGAAGAAGATCTTTTCAATGAGAACTCCTTAAATAATCAATGGCTTGAAAGAAAATTTGAAGAGGAAGAAATAAGGAAGGCCATCTCAATGGACAAATCTAAAGCCTTGGGACCAAATGATTTCACAATGGCCTTTTTATCAAGGTTGTTGGGGAATTGTGAAGGATGAATTGTATGCAGGGATTAATGCAACCTTTTTAGTCATTATCCCTAAGAAGCCTGAGACTAGTCACCCAAAGGATTATAGACCAATTAGTTTAGTGACTAGTATCTATAAAATAATAG